TTCCATGATAGCAGATTGAGTAGGTGATGAATAGCCTACCTGCAAAGCCCGCCATTACATTATAGAACAGAACATGACAAGCATCATTAAAGGTAATAGAGAAAATGAAATTTTCTTCTTGAATTCTCAAACTTATCTTCTTTCTCTTCCAACTTTAGAGAATAAAAAGTGCTTACACCACATCCGAACTCATAGGAACCACAGACAGCAACAACAGTGCAGAGATAAACCATCCAATGATTCCCACCACTGCTTCCATGGTGGTAAGTAGATGTATCTTCTTCATCAACTACATCCTTTTGCCGCTGGATGAGAGGTTCTCTTACATCTCCATTCCAGCCACCATTGTTTATATCTTCTTTATTATCCATGTTTCTTTTCTCTATTTAACTTTTGAGTATAATATCTATCATCATAACCAGCATATAAATTAAAAAAGGGTAAGACAAGCTTGAAGAAATGATCTTCAGGATGAAGAAAATACTGAAAATGGAAAACAATGAAAATCTCTAGCCATGTCTCTTACCAACTATGCTTTTCTTCATCCCTCTGCTGTTGTATTTACCGTATTCTCGCTATTTATCTGCCATTTTCTTCATCCAGAGATGCTTTTTTTGTAGTTGCTCCAGCATCCTAAAAGGGAATTCTTTTTAAAGGGAGAAAGGGAATGCATCTTGTTCGCATACATTTTTCCGGTTGTCCTTTCAAGTTTGACATTTTCCTGATTTTCTTTTCTGAATGATTAGCGGGAATGCGCAGAAATTGCAATTGGTATTGAGCGGATTTAAGATTTTTCATTTAAATTTTAAAATATCTTATTTCATAATTAAATTTTACTAAAAATTAATCATGTTTTTGGGTTAAGTTTCAAACTCTTTGACCGCGTGTAACAGTATTTTTTTTTATTTTAAGTACATAATGAGAGATAATTATTTTTTATTTTTTATTTCATCTTATTTCATACTATTCAAATTCAAAATCTTTTATTTTTAACAAAAAAAAAATAATTATCAAAGTATTTAGATAATTAACTGTAACAGTATTTTTTTAATAAACCATTTGTAAGCTGTTTTGCATAAGCATTGTTAGCTTTTCAGCTGTTACGGGTTGGCATGCCCTGTCTTGGAAATTGCGTAACTCATTTGAAATTTTATAAGTACCCAAAAAATAAAATGATATCATTTAGCTGCTATAGGCCATACTATTACGGCGTTTGCTTGTTTTGTTAATTGCCCGCAGGGCCTTGGTTTGTATTTGGACGCTGATGTAAGGGGAATAGGCTTTCCCCGGACCTGACTGTATCTGTGTTTTGATATATATATTTCCATATTTCCACCAAAAAAAAAAAAATAAAATGATAAAAAAAGGAGTAATGTTTTGCCATCTTAATTATATCAGACGATAAAATACCCATCATTAAATGAAGGGTCCTTTCCTAACTTCAGTGCTACCTCTCACTCTCAATCTGATTGGATTGCAAACATTAGGAAATTGAAAAAATATAGAAAAATTAAAAAAAAAGAAGGGAATCTTAAGGGTAGAATTATTAATAAATAAGTGTTATTCTCTTTGTTAACTTTAATATTGAGGACACATAAAAAATTAATTTTTTTAAATATATCAATTAGATGTGAGGTGTGTAATATTAGTTTTTTTTTATTATTATCTTAGTTATATAATAATTTTTTACCTCATCTTATTTGTATGTCATATAATTTAAATTTAAAATTTTATATATAAAAAAAATAATTACTGAGTTAATTAAATAATTCTTATAGTGTTGAGACAGTAGGAAAACTGATTCACGACATTTAACTCATAAATAAAAAACCCTATATAAATGGACTAAGCCCAATAAGAAATGAAATTGGCGACGCAGTGAAGTGACGGTTTCTGTTACGAGTCCATAGGCGGGAAATTCGTAGTATTTCTGAAATAAAGCACGTTTGGTAAGGGTATTTTAGTCTCCCAAAAGTCCAAAGGGTGTCAGTGTCCTTACATCTCCGTCCGCTTTGCGTCGCCGAAGTTCTCCCGTTAAGTGGCCGTACTCGCTTACTCCGGCAGTAGATTGATAGCGCCGGTCGGGAATGACAGACGATGAATTGTTGAAGCATCTCGAGGACATGACCAAGGACGCCCCGCGTCACCAGGTTCAGACCTCTTCACTCAATCCCCTATCGCCAATGCAGCGTAATAAGTTATCTTCGCTAGTGCTTTTCCGGCCAAATTGTTCTTCCCCTCTTGAGGATACCATAAGAGTCATAAATAGAGTGCAGCAAGGTACGTAGAGTTCTGTTATGCCCATTATCTATATCCATTTGATTGGACACAAACAATGGCTATTCAGAATGGAGCGCCAGGTAGTCAATATAAGCAGCCACAGATTTCAAGGAATTGTAAAATTGTTAATCTTTTGGAGACATGCTCTAGTGACTATAAGTTTTAGGTATCTTTATGTTCTTGATGGATTGGGGTCCTGTAATCCTGCATTTTTTTTGTTGGATTGATGCATTCTCTTTGGCTCTGATGGTATGAACAAGAACAGGATGCAGAAAGGGAGGGAAGAAGAAAGAAATTTCACTTCTATCTCTATAGAGATCCTCTTACACGGAGAAAGTTGAGACTTTTTTTCTTATTCCTTCTCCTAAGAGATGCTGTCTTTATGCATTATCTTTCTGCATTGATGAAATCCCATTTCCATTACAAAAAGCATAAAACTATGGCCCCTTGACAATTGCCTTGTTTCTTTGGTTCTAGAAGAATCTCATCTCCCATTTCTCAAAATGTCTGATGGGGTTGTCAAATTTTCAAACTTGGATTTCCAAAAAAGAAATGATTTATTTCAATTTTGTTGATTCTCTATGCATTGATGGCTGCTTGAATTTGCTCCAGGGTTCTCCCCTTTGTTTCAGGTACCACTGTGATCACAAATACTATAGCCAGTGCATTGATTGCAGCATAGAGGAAAAATGTTCCTGAAAATCATGCAACACACAGGTAAACTTTCACCCTTTATTTACAATTTATTCGTTCATTGTAAAATGCAGTGGAAACCTGTTTATGGGGAATGTTATTGAGAATTTCAAATTTGTTTCTTTTGACTAGTTAATTTGCTTGCATTGTGGTGTTGTTTCTACTTGTTACTCCTCATTTTGTTGCAATGAAAATAAGGAAAAGAATAGTCACTGTATTTACCATAGGAGCTCCAATCCACAAGGAAATTGAAAGTGTATGAAACTGCCCATGCACCAAACCAGTTGACCAGTGTTGCTAGGCTTCCTGCTACTCCTTTGATATTTATTGGGAATATCTGCAGAAAAGGTAAGGTTAAGAAAAGTTGAAATAATAGTACATGCATGCGAATGGTGTATCTTGCTAACTTCTTGTTACCTCAGACATTACAACCCAAGGAACTGAACCCATCCCTGCTGAAAAAAATCCTATGTATACCTGGTCTCAAACAAGATATGTTAGAAAGGTAACAAAGGAAATATGATAATCTGCATTTTTTCAAATCAAGTTCCTGGAAGACCATTGTTTACCAGTATGCCTACTACTGCAAGAATTGGAGCTGTGTTGACTGCCAGCCCATGTCCCTGTCAGAATAGGTTTTCCAGAAATTAGTAAATATAGAAAGCAAAAATGATGTTCTTACATGTCAAAATTTGACAGGTAACCTTAAGATAGAATGAAGTTCCAGTTAGCAGACAGCCTATAACCAATCCTGTTGCAGCCACCTAGAAGGAAGGAAAAGTGTGAGGTTGACATTCTAGCCATTAAGAAGGATTTGGAAAGAAAACTGAAGAGCTTAAATGTGATCTGCTTTACAGTATACCAGTAATAGGGGCTTTCTTCCAGCTCTATCAATCACAACTGTGTTAAGTGCAGTAACCACAACCTGCAAAATAATTGTGTCAAGCTAATCCTGGCAGGAGAGAAACAGGTAGATTTCTGAGGGAGATAAAACCTGAAGAACGGCATAGATTATGGTCCCAAGGCTGGAAGAGAACCCTGAATCATTATCAATAAAAAAAAAGTGAAATGGTATTTTTAGAATGTCTTAGTTATTAGATTTGTTGTTTGTTTAAAAGAACAGAAGTGGTAGATTCTAGAGCCTAGCTGAGAATTTGTTTCTATCAAAATTGACTTGGGAAATTTGTTTTAGATACTTCAGAAATTTTGTTCAAAAACATTATAGAAGGAAAAGAGACTAGGATTTTCTTTCTTTTTTTTTTTTTCTTTATTCTGGCATTTGTAACTTTTATTGAATTCTCTTTACCTGCTGACTCAAAAATATTGCTGACATAGAAGCAGATTCCATTGATTCCTCCAAATTGTTGGAAGACCATCAGTCCAACTCCAATCTGGTCAGAGATGAGTGTTTAGAAAGGTGAAGTTAATGAAGGTGGAAGAAATTTAATATGATTGAAGATTGTATCAATTTATGGTACTGTTTCAGTAAGAGAGAGAGAGTTACAATGACTGAACGCAAGTATCTTCTTTGAAACAAGTCCAGGATTTTGGCTTTTGGGAGCTGTTCAAGAGTTTCTATATAGTCCTGTCAAGAATGCCATAATCCACAATTTATACATTTTCTTACAATGCTTAATCAGTTTGGATCAACATAATGTATTTCAGAATAAGAACCTGAATTTCAGCTGCTTCGTCTGATATATCAGCATCCTTGCCACGAAGTTTCTGTAGTGCAGCTTCAAAGTCCCTGTGCCGTCCTGTCTTCGCCTGCATCAAAAGATTAAATTGATTTCATTGTCAATTTATTGTTACTGTCAGTCATTAACAAAACTTTCTCTTGGTTTCAGTGACATTTGATACCAGCCATCTTGGAGACTCTGGAATGAAGAAGAGACCAAAAACCACAACTGCACAAGGAATGAGTCCTGCAAGCACCTTGCGAATGAGTCTAATGTTGCACTAACATTTGTAATGTCCTCTCTCTCTCTCTCTCTCTCTCTGTGCGCTGCATGCACGTGTGTGATTTTGCAGAAGATTATGCTTTCTCTCTTTTGTTTGATGCTTGAAAACATTTAATTAAGTGACAAAGCCTCTTACCAATTAATGCCAAAGCCCTCCATGTTACAAATGTCCCTATAACAAAGGAAACAGAAACTCCACAAACAATCAGGAGCTGTAGAAAAAGAAGAGATAGAATTAGATATAGCAACCTCATATCTAACCTGGTGATTTGCAATTAGTGTTAATGTTTATGTATGGTCATGCTGATCATGGATCAGAAAAAGTGTCAACATGTATATATTGTAAAATTTACATTATCTGATGGCACTTCGTGGAAATCATGTTCATGTTTCAGAAAGTGAGATGATATGAAAACCTTCTGCTTGCTAGTTTTTTAGCACATTTTACCTGATTTGCAGCTGTTAGTGCTCCTCGAAGCTCCTTAGGTGCAATTTCAGCTATGAAAACCGGTACCTTGAGATAGATTTAACAATGGCATCAAAATAATCAATCAGATGTATTCTACAATGTAATCATAGAAGGTTAAGAACTGAAGTGCTTGAAATGTCATGGAAACACACCACATAGGAATAGACTCCCATTCCATATCCTGATGCCAATCTTCCAATGTCCAATGGAATAACCCCCTTTCGTTTCAATCAAGATAGAGAAGAGGTTATTAGGCTATATTTCTGAAAAAATGTATCAGATTATTCATAGTTCAGGCAATGGTGAAACCAGGGATTAAGATTGTTATATACACCTTAGCAAAGTAAATAGCAAGCCACCCTGCAACACAAACGGCACTAGCTACCCTCATTGCCTGCATATATTTGCAAGGAACAAAGTGTTAATTGTGTGGAAATCAATGCCAAAACTAGATTTAGGTTATCGAAATAATTTTTTTCTGCCTACCCCCTTACGACCAATAAGATCACCAATAGGTCCACTCGTAATTGCACCAATCATTGCACCAAAAGTCAATATAGAACCAAACATTGAAAACTGCAAAATGAAAGAAACAAGTGAATTTGTTAGAAGCTTCATCTACATGTTGTGAGGATAGTCATTCACACTATCCTCACAATTTTCCATTTTTAGTGTTACATATTCGGTTTTCTTGCTTAATAGTTATTCCCGCTACATGGGATTATTATTTTTAGCACTCTGAATCCAATTCATGATAATTCTTATTTCCCCATTTTGAAATCAGCTAATTCTCCTGCGCTTATGCTGATATCCATGGCCTTCTTTTGATGAATTTCTGTGTCAAATGTTAGCAATGATCATGGTAACAATTATTTTATTGCATAATTCTCTATCTGGTTTAAGTAGTCATATTCATATATAAGGAGGGATTCATTGACACATAAGTCTAACACATTACACTTACACAAAATCTTAAATATTCATCTCTCCATTTTTAATGGTTAAAATTTATCGTGACTTTTTAAATGAAAAAAATAATTATCTTTAATAAATATGAATAAATTTCAACTATTGAACTACTAAAAGTGGAGAAATAAATAACTGATATTTTGTGGAAGTATAGTATGTAAAATTTGTGTATAAGTGGATCCCTACTCTTCACTCACTTCTGCTGTTGATAGGGAGAGATCTTCCATGATAGCAGACTCAGTAGGTGATGAATAACCTACCTGCAAAGCAACAATGAACATTAGAGAACACCAGATATGACATTCCTTTCTTCTCTTTCTATTCAATTGCAGGAAATACAATAAGGACAACCCCTTTCCCAAATTCCCCTCTCCATTCCCATATTCAAACTAGAGATCTCCAACTTGGAATTCTCTGCCCAAACTGTTAGGCTTTGCTTTAGGACCATACATTACATTCATTGTTAATAGTACTAGAGCAAGCAAAATTTTCATTCTTGAATTAATGAATATATCTGTTCTTATCGGTTCAGCTTTAAAATAAGACAAGCCACTTACACAGCATCCGAATTCATAAGAACCACAGACTGCAACAAACGTGGAGAGATAAACCATCCATTGATTCCCTCCACGGTGGTGAGTAGTTCCATCCTCCTCATCGACCTTATTCTTAGGCTGGTGGACCAGAGGTGCTCTCACCTCCGGATCACCGTTGCTTATATCATCTTCTAAAGCCATAACTCTTCTCTCTACTTAGCTTTCAGTATATATCTATCTCTGCAACCTGCAAAGAGAGATCAATATGGAAAAGAGAAAAGGCTTGAAGAAAAGAACTTGGGGATGAAGACAATACAGAATGATTTTTTTTTCTGGCACTCTCTGATATTATATAGAAGGAAAGAAAACTGAGTTAGCCGCGGTAAAAACAAAATTAAAATTAAAATATTAATATTTAATATTTTATTAAGATAAAAAGTAAAATAACTAAATTAAATCAATAATTATTTTTTATTTTAAATTTATTTTAAATTTATTGTT